TCTTCCTGCTTCAGCCTCCAGAGTGCTGGGCTTACAGGCGTGTGCCACCACGCCCAGCCCGGCCAGGCAGCTCCTTTTCCAAGGTGTCCTATGCAGAGGTTACCAGATTCTTAAATACTTTCCTCCTTCCTTGTGTCACCAGCTTGCTTGCTAGAGCCAGAGCTCACTGCTGAGCCTAGCTTTTGAGTTCTGGGTCAGGGCACCAATAGTTTCAGAATTCTGAGGTCAAGTGTATGGATCTTCCCCAGACCTGGTCAGCAGGTTCTTGGAGGACCCTACCATGTTAGGAGCTGTCTCTCAGGTCCTCTGTCTGTATCCCACCATCTCTGCTTTTCCTTATCTTTCTGGGTGTCTCCTTTTCCATCCCCTCTGTTTTCTCTGTCACTGGAGTCACCACAGGAGACAAGAGGGCTGGGTCTGGGTGCATATGGGGGGTGGTGGTGGCCAGACCAGGGGCCCGGGACATGAGTGCAACTTTCCAAGCTTCCCTTCCAGGCCCCTGTGGTTGGGGAGCTCCACAGAGGGAGACATGAGTCAGCAGGGCCTAGAGAAAGACGTGGGGAGGTGGGGATGCTGCCGGGGTTCCCCAGGCTGAGGAGTTTGCTGGGGCCATCGGGGTCTCTGAACTCTGGTGGGTGTGCGAGTAAAGGATCAAAGGTGCCCAAAGGGACACTAAAGGTTCCTAAACCTTTAGTGCACGTGTAAGGGGTACAGGCATCAATTTTTAGGGCTGGAAGAGCCCCCGCTACATCACCTTCATCCCCAGATTCTTGTAGGAGAGGGGTTCCCAAATGCCCTCCAGGAGATGTTTGGAGCTGTAAAGTTGTGATCTGGGCCTGTGTGTATACATGTGACATTTGCCGTGTGTGGAGACCTGTATTGATGTGAGTCTGTGTGAGTTCCTGAGGGGAACTAGGAGACTGAATCTATGGGTGTATGCTTTGTTTTTTGTACTGAGGATTGAACCCAGGGCCTTCACACCAAGATACATCCACAGCCCTTTTATTTTAAGATAGGGTTTTACTAAGTTGATAAATTTCCCAGACTTCTGATTCTCCTGCTTCAGCCTCCAGAATGCATGCGTGGGTACCACCATACCTGATGATGCACTCATTTTTATGATTGAGGATCAGGAGGCTCTGAGGTAAGCATTATGTCTACGTGATACGTACATGCCAGCAGGTATCTGCACAGAATTTATAAGTGAATGAGTTATGCACTACGTGTGTACAAGTGTGTGTACCTGGATATGTGTCACTGCTTAGGAATGTATTGGAGTTTGTGTGCATCTCTGTTTCAGGAGTTCTGTTTATGCAGGTGATTGTCCCTGGTGTAGCCAAACCTTCTGTAGCAGCATCTAGGGAAAGCCTCACAGTCCCTCCCTGGGATTAGAGGTCTCAGCTCAGAGGGAGCCCAGCCTAGAGGGGCAGAGGGCAGTGGGTATGGAGGAAGGTGGCTTCCTGAAGGCACAGGGATTGAGGTCTCCAACTCATCCCAAGTTTTGTTCTCTCTACTTCTCACTCTCCTTTTCAAAAAGATCCAATACCCTTGGAGAGAACTGAGGCAGCTCCCAGATTCAGCCCCTCTAGCCTAGGAAGCCCACCCGGATTGTCCCAGGGGAGGGAGGGAGGGAGGGAAAGGAGTGGTCCCTGCGGTTCGGCCAGTCCTGGCATTGGGAGATCAGAAAGAGAGCATCCCACCCCTTCCTTCAGGGGCATCCATCTTGGAGCAGCGTCTGGGTGGCCATGGGCGGAGGCTGAGGGGCCCCCAGGGTGGTGGGGGGTGGTGGATAGAAACCAGATGCCTAGGGGGTTTATACTGGAAGGACCAGAGCCGCAGCCTCTACCCGCCCCTGCCACATGGCGCCTCTGCCGGGGGCTGCCCCACCCCCGGGAGGCAGGGCTGAGGGAGGCCTGAGAGGGTGGAGGTGGGTCCTCCATAGGGATCCAGTTGCTGGCCCCAGGTCCTGAGGGCAAGGAAGACGGTGGGGAAACTGGGCTGGGCTGGGTTGCAGAACTATCTTTGAAAAAGGTGTAGAAGAAGTCAGAATCTAGACTCTCAGGCAGCAGGACTGAGGGCTGCAGCTGGGGGCCTTGCTGCCTCTAGGCTGCAGACCCTGGATGGAGGTGTGGTTCTGCATCTGGCTACCCTGCTGGGATTGACACAGCAGGACTCACTTCTCTCGTCAGGGCTCTTCCTCTTTCTGCGAGCATTCCTCCTTTTTTTCTTCCCTAGCATTCTTTGGATTTGAATAATCCTGCTACCTCCCAGGTAGGATTAGGGATTAAAGCCTACAAAGCCTCTAACCCTGTCCCTTCTTTCATCTTTTTTTTTTTTTTGGTACCGAGGATGAACTCCGAACCTTGTGCTTGCGAGGCAGGCAGCAGATCCATTGAGCTAAATTCCCTGGCCCCTTTATTTCATCTTTCATCCTCTTTTTCCCCTTCAGTCTTTTTCTTCCCCAGTCTGAGCCCCAATTCCCTTTTCTTTTCTTTTATATGACAGCCACCTGCTGTCTTTCAGAGTCTAGATTTTTCTCCCCTGTCTGTTTCCTGCCTGATCTGACTGTTCTGAAGCTCTCTGTTGTCAGTACAGTAGATAATTTCTTTAAACCCCATCTTTTCTTTCTCTCTCTCTCTCTTTTTTTTTTTTAGATGGGGGTGGGTAAGGGTTTGTCACTAGGCTGGCTTTGAATTTGTAATCCTCCTGTCTCAGCCTCCCAAGTACTGGAATTACACCATGTCCTTCTAAAATCTGCCTTCCCTACTTTTTTTTTTGGTACGGGGGAGGGGGAGAATTGAACTCGGGACCTTGGGAGGCAGGCAGCAGAACCACTGAGCTCAATCCCCAGCCCTTCCCAACTTCTGGGTTGGGGTCCCTAGAAATCCAAGCAGTAACTCAGGCTTAGGCTGCCCCCGCACCAGGGGGAGACTGCGAGGTCATGGGGACACCCCACCACCGGCACTTCCTCTTGGGCAGACGGGGCGGGGTGGCCCTTGTAATTATGGGCTATTTATACTCCATCCCTACCCCCCACCTGCTGGCTGCTTAACCCTCCACCTCCTCAAGGACCTGGCCATGCCTCTGGCTATTTTCTCTGTCCTTCAGAAGCTACTGTCCCCGTTCCAGTGGGCCTGTTTCTTCTTTTTTTTACTTTTTTCTACTCTCTCTGGTTCTTCCCAGGCCACATATCTAGTCTTTTGTTCTCCTCTTCCCTCTTTCTTATACCTTCTAATGGTTCTTTAATACCCTTGCACTATTCTACTTGCTCTGTATCTTCTGGTCCTTAGGTGTTCTTCTTTTCCTTTGTCTGACAGCCTCTTGATCCCTAACCCTTTCTCAAAAATTTAGGTTCTCAGGGTTCCTGGGAAAAATCAAATCCTAGAGCTGGAACCTAGAACTCCTGAGTCCCACCCTGGACTTTGTTCCTGCCTGCTGCTTAAACTGCCATGTGACCCACCTAGACTCTATCCTCCCTGCTTCTTCCACCTCTCAGCTTTTTATTTTTTTAGTACCTGGGGTAGAACTCTGGACCTTGTGCTTTCAGAGGCAGGCCACGGAACCACTGAGCTAAATCCTCTACCCACTACCACATTCCTGACTCTACCTCCCATCCTTTTCTTTGGAAAGCCAGGGAAGATGAAGGAACAAGGACTTCGGTGTTGAGAAAGAGAAAGTAAGGGCTGTTGGGGAGTGAGGAGGGAGGAGAAAGACAGGTAGGGCAGGGAGGAGACAGAGAAGTGTTTGGGGAAATAACTTGACAACAACCTGGTGACTGAGGGACAGATAATGGTTCTACCACTTGGTTGCCCAGTCCTCTCTCCTCCAGATAATTGCTAATAGACTTTTGGGAACTCCAAAACATGATTGACTTCATCCTCCTCTTTTCCATTTTGATAGAAAGTCAAAGTTGGGAAGTCCTGATTAAGTTCTAACTTTAGTTCTTTCTCCTGCAGAGGGAATTGCCACATGGTAATAAGCAAGGCAACCAGGAGGCCTCCTCTCAAGGGAAGTATGGTCACTCATGGGAAGAACCAACTATTAATTAAACCCTCCAGCCAAGGAGGGCTTGGGGATAGTACTTGGGTAACTGGTAAGGAGCGATGGAGGTAAGGGCATTTCTTTTTTGAGGGATAATACAAAGTGGCTAAGTCCTGGCATGAATGAGTTGACCCAATGACCACCTGACCCTCACTCTTATTTGCTTTAATTCTCATCCAGGGATGTGGCTCAGAGCCCTTGCCTAAGATGCACAAGGCCCTGGGTTTGATCCCCAGTACTGCAAGAGAAAAAGTCATTTTCTCAAAAATTTTTTTCTTGGCTTTTATTTTTTGCGTCTGATTCCAGGTTCTGCCGTACAAAGTGAATATTTCTCCCTAGCAGTGAAACTGAGGTACAGGGAGGAAAACTAAAGGACTATATCTGTGCAAAATCCTGCCCCACACTCTTCCTTTTCCTCTAGGACTGGCTCTGCAACCTGCCTGGGTGACCCTAAAAGTTTGGGAGCAGAAGCCTCCACTACTGGACACATTCTCCCTCCTCCCTGCTTTGCATGCATGATCACACACACACACACACACACACACACACACACACACACAGAGCTCTCCTTGTCATGGGGGGGCAGGCAAGTCTCTCCCCATGGCCAGCCTGGGTATGCATGTGCTGTGCCCCCAGTGTGTCACTGTGTTCCTCTGTGTGTGCATTTGTGTTCATGACAGTGGCTGTACTCCTGGGCAAGACTGCATGTGTGTACATGTGCATTCATCGTCCCCGTGTCTGTCCATGAGTGTGTATGTCAGTGTGTTCCAGGCTGTCTGTGTGTGTCGTCCCGGATCCCCCATCCCCCCCCTGGATCTCTAATTAGTGGTTTGGGGTTTGTTCCTTTTCCCTCCTGTTCCTTCCCTCAGCAGCAGCGGCGGGCGGCAGCAGCCTCGGCAGCAGCAGCAACAGCAGCAGCAGCAGCAGCAGCAGCAGTAGCAGCAGCAGCAGTAGCAGCAACAGCGGCAGAAGCAGCCTTTACCAGCAGCACAGCAGCAAGGACTCTGGAGTCAGAGTAGGATTTTAGGATCAGGATCGCAGCCCGTGTAGGAACCAGAGTGGAGCTGGCCTGGGTGAGGAGTGGATTCTTCCCAGAGCCCTCAAGCCACCCGTTGCCTGCACTCTCCCTGCCAGACCTGCAGAGAGGAGAGACTGGGACAGCCAGCCTCAGGTTCCCCAGGTACAGGATGCTGAGGCGCTTGGGAGGGCGGCCCACAGATGCCTATGGGATTGCTAAGTATGTGGACACCTGGGCTCACCATCCCTTTAACCTTTTGCCATACCCCCTCGCTAGCCCTGACAACTTGCACAGGCTGTTATGCCCCCTTCCTGTTCCTGTCCCTTCCCTGGGTGCCCCCTTTTCTCCCCTCCCTCCCAGATCCCTTCTTTGGGGAGCTCAGCAAATGGAGCAGGAAATTTGGACCCTCTGCCTCCCTCTCTCGCACTCCTCATTGGATCCGAAGGCTTCTCCACTGGGAAAGCTGTAATTAGAGGGTGGATCCCTACAGACAGAGAGCAGCCCCCCCACCCCCACCCCCCAGTCCCTTCTAACTTTAGATCTCTTCTCTCCCATTCTCCCATTCTCCCTCCCTCTCCCCTCTCCCTCTCTCTCCGGCTCCGCTCTCTCCATCTGCCTGGCTCCTTGGGACCTGGTCCCCAGCCTCAGGATGGCGTCCTCCCTGCTTGAGGTAACTGCCCTCTCCTCCTCCTAGAAACCAGCCACAGTTTTAAGGTCATAATCCCTGCCCTTCCCACCCCCGGCCCCAACTCACATAGACAGTAGTGTTGGTGCCTGTCACTTCTAGGGTCCTTCTGGTGAGGAGAGAGGAGTGGGGTCAGAGGAGGGGTGAACAGAGGGCAGGAAGACAGGGAAGGAGAGCAGAGCCAGCAGGGAAGGCCTTCAGAGGATTAGGTCAAAAGAGGCATGGACCCATAAGGTCAGCTAAGCCACTAATTGTGAGGAGTGGAGAAGCAGTACAGAAAGGAGGGAGGGAGAAGACAGAAACAGCCCGGAGAGGGATGGAAACAGATACGGATAGGACAGTATAGGACAGTAGCAGATGAGCAGAACAGAAGGGAGAGGACTGGTTGAGTGGTCTCTGTGGGGGTCCTGTGCCCTGGGACTCCCATCCAAAGCAGGGTCTCCTGGGCCTGTGTCAGGGAGGTGCTGGCCGGAGCACGGGTCTGTGTGGGGTGGGGTGGGGTAGCTGGGAGGGAGAGGAGGAGGGCAGCCCTGTGCGTGGTGGGGCTGACCAGGGGAACTGAGCCCAGGCCTGAGAGGGAACCAAGGAGGAGGGACAGGGTCTGAGGCCGCTTGCCCAGCTCACAAATATTTAGCTTTCAGCCAAAGACAAACTCAGCTCTATTTTGGGAGTGGGAGGCTCCAGGGCGGACTGGGCCACTTCCCTTCCAGGCTGGGACCCTAGCATCCCTTGGCTCTGGAGCAGGAGATGAAGGGAACTAGGGTACCATGGGGGTTTGGGGTCTTGAGAAATCACTGACTCAACCAGGGAATCTGGGGCCACAGAATTGGAAAGCGAGTACTCACAGCCACTCAGAGCCTGAGTTCTCTGTGCTTCTGGGTTTCTAATGTTTCCGTCACTATATGTGTCTTACTTTCTGGGTCTCTGCAGGAGTTAGGGGCTAGAGAGCCCTCCCTTGAAGGTCACCCTCCTTCTGTGGCTTTGAATCTTCCTTATTCTGTTTCTAGTGCCCTAACTCAGGTCTCAGGTTTTGGGCCAAACAAGAAGTCAGTTTACTCAACCTGTAGGAGAGGTGTGTGTGAGATGGAGCAGGAGCCTCTTGACACCTGTGTCCTTTGGCCTGCGTGTGTCAGGCAATAGAGGATGCCTGTGCGCAGCTGGCTGTTGTGAGTACGGAAGTGTGTGTCAGCGCATCGGGCCATCTGACTGCTCCTAGTTCAAGTGAAGAATGGCATCTGTGTGAGGCTGTGAGGTAGTGAAATTTATGGCTGAGTTTGAGAGAATAGCATGCAAACCAAGGGATGGACATCATGCTTCCTGTCACACCCTGTATCCAACCAGGTGTCCCCAGGCACTGTACTCTCCCCTCAGCCACAATGGTGGCACACTGTCATCCTGCCTCTTCCCCCATTCGACTCTCTACTGAGCCATCACTGAAACCCTGGTCTCGAGGAAGCTGAAAGAATAAGATGATGCGGGAAGTCCCAGGTCCATCCAGAGCAGGGGCAGTTTCAGTGGGCGTAGGCATCACGCCAGCATTGCCAGCGTGGCACTGGTGCTTGGGGGAGGAGCAGCCCACAGGCCTGGTAAAGGACATGGGATTGGGGGGGAGCGCTGGGAAGAGAAGTGTGTTGTAGAAGGCTAATCTTGGAAGTCCCCTCGCTCTCTGAGCTGGAGATGCTCTCTGCACAAAGGCTCTCCAGTCCCTCCATCTCTTTCGCCTAATTTTTGGATACCTGGGCCCTCTTTCCACCTTCCCAGGAATCCCTCTGCAAGGTACGGGTGGGCTCTCGGGCAGTGGGAAGAACTCGGGAGTCAGAGAGGGATATTTGATGGGAAGCTCACCTGGACTGGGGAGGACACAAGGGAACAGGGTAGGGGGAAAAATGAATCAGGGGCTACAAAGGAATGGAGAAAGGAAACTCAGCTGGGGGTAGAGCACTAGCTACCTAGCATGTGTGAGGCCTGGGTTCTATATCTATAGGCAGTACCGAAAAGCAAAGAAAAGGGAAGGCAGGAGAACTAAGGATCCCGGGGAGAAGCCTGAACTGGGTACGTTGGCACTCAGAACCCAAGGTAAGCCAGCTGTCAGATGTATTGTAGGGAGGTGTGGGAGAGCCCTGCACTGTGAACTCCCTGGAGAGGGGTGTCCCTAGCTCTCTCCACAGAGATGGGACAGCTCCCTTGTTGTTTTTTCCAAAGACTCCTCCAAAACACAATACTTTACGCGTGTGTTTTTTGGTGGCTGTTGCTTTTCTTTTCTTTTCTTTTTTAAAGGATGGTGGAGGGTGGGAAACAACTGCAAGGAGGGAGTACGGAGTCCTGGCAGGTAACACATTGGGTCAGGTATGGGGGCATATACCTAGACTCCTTTTAGTAGGATCCTCTCCCCTAGTTCTCAGGAGAGAGCAATCAGCCAGAGAAGGAAACTGAGGCTGTTGTGAAACTTAGCCACGTGCACAGCTCTTACCACTGCTCAATAGTCTGAGTGGGTCTGGTCCCTGATTTCCCCTTCTCTTCCCCTAGTGGCCCTATGAGCCTCTCTGCTCCCAGGCTGGGGTCTCCTGTTGGCCTGAGCCTGGCTGCCTTCTTTCACCCCAACCTCCCTCCCCACAGCTGGGTGGGGTCCCTGGGCTTGGCTGAGGCCCCTGTGGCCACAGTGTGAGGGCTGGGCAGGGTGGGGGGGGATGGCGTCGGCGTTTTTA